ATAGAAGAGGACATAAAACAAAACCGGGCTTGCCCTGTCCACACTGTGGACCAGACAGTACACACAGATGAAGAGAAAGCCATCAGGGAAGTGGTGGATAATGTTTTGTGGCAGATGGCTGCAGATAGGAAGTCTACTGCACTCAAACAGCTACAAGGACACATGTGGAGGACTGCCTACACATCTGGGAAAATTAAGGGCCAGTACGTGAATTGTTTATCTGATCATTATGCATATTTATTCACATGGCACTCTTTTTAAATTTTGGTTGTTTTCTAAAACAGGGTATATGAAGATGTAATCCCAGCAATCAGAAGATGGCGGGAAAGGGGCCTGAAAGTTTATATTTATTCCTCTGGGAGTGTGGAGGCACAGAAACTTTTATTTGAATACTCTATTGAAGGAGATGTTTTAGATGCAAGTATTCGGTTGTTACATTTACACACAGTTTTCATAAAATTAAAACAATCTGATTTGATAACTTTTTTTTTTCCAGTTATTTGATGGTCACTTTGACACAAATATTGGCGCCAAGGTAGACAGTAAAAGTTATAAAAATATAGCAGAAAGGATTGGCTGTGGACCAGATGAAATCACTTTTTTGACAGATGTTACTCGTGGTGAGTTGCACTCTTCTCCTTTTTATGAAATCAAACAAGTCATTTGGCTCTTCTTATTAACTGGACACATGGTTTTGTTTTCCAGAGGCAAAAGCAGCAGAAGAGGCTGGAGTAAATGTAGTGGTGGTTGTCAGGCCTGGCAACATGGAGCTAACAAATGAAGAGAGGGACCATTATAACCTCATAACTACATTTAACCAACTTGAACTGTTGGGATAACATATCGAATGCACATTTGAAACAAAGACATAACTCAGTGAAAATACTGTACCGTATTTTCCGGGCTATTAGGAGCTCTGGATCATAAGATGCACTGTCATTAAATGGTCTATTTTCGAACTTTTTTCACAAATAAACCGCACTGGACTTTAAACGAAACACAACAGTTAGATGGGTCAGTCGGACTTTGTTTGGCGCGTTCATCAAAAACAGTGCAAGAATATTTACAGTGAGCAAAAATGTCCAAAAAGTATTTACAATAAAGAAACAGGGTCGAGTTCAACATTAACTGTCCCCTTTAAGTTCCTGGTACAGCACACCGACCTTACCTGGTCTGTAACCGGTGGCAGACTGCTTGACAGCCAGAAACGGATCCCCTTTATACCCCCTGGCTCCTCCCACTGAGCACTATATCAAAATCATTACAGAGACAAACAATTCCACAATAAACCTATCATGTCTATGCTGCGTTGAGCACACAGTAATAATGTACATTTAAAGTAAAAATAATAGTTGAATAACGTGTGGAAAATCACCTTACATAACGCGCGTCACATGGTCAGCACCACGGCGCGAACAGCGCCTATTTCAACTAGCAGGAAATAGTGGCTCGGTTTGGCAGAGGTGCGCCGCGTCGTAGGAGAGAGAGATGGCGTCATCGGTCAGGTAAGAGACAAGTATGAAATAAAGTATTCTAACGCGCTCAAGTGTGAACCCTTGGCGAATTAGTAACGGAGGAGAGAGGGGAAAAGGCGTTAATAGTGAATACAGCGCGGATGAATGAAACGGCGAGTGACCTCTTGTGTGCGGAATGAATCAGCGCGTGTGTGCGCGGGCACGTCAATGCAAGCCGCGGTTATGTGTAGGGGGAAAACGCCACCTAAAATCATAGACGGACTGGCTCCGTCACAGTCTGCAGTTGTTTTTCACTGCGCTGTCGCTGTCTGCTCCGTGTGTGTTTGCGTGCGCTGCGGGTGGTGCGGCTTTGTAGTTTACTGAAGTCGTGCTGGGACACCCGAGTGGATTCGTGTATAGGGCGCTCTGGCTTGCGGGGCGCGCGGTCGTTTTTTGATGGGGTTATAGGCTTAAGAGCGCGTCTAATAGCCCAGAAAATACGGTACTTGTTTTGTCCTCCTTGTCGCCTAAAGACCAATTATAAGTTCAGTTTGTACCCACCCTCACAATCATGGTTCACAAAATTAGAACCTTAAAGAAAATAAAGCATAGTTGGCTTTTTACCTTCTTGTTAAATTTCATAATCCAGAATTTTAATTGTAGGAATGTCTTGTAATATATGTCGAAGGGAGTTGTGATCAGATCTGCTTAAGTTGATGAACTGTGCAAGATAAAGATGCTTTCAACTTGTATGAGCATTTCATTTTGTATGGATGAAGAGACTGAGTGATAATTGATGTTCATTGCTTAAGGTAGACAACATAAAGTAAAAAACAGAACAAAATGCCTTCTTTTTTTTTTAACCATGACTAAGAGCACAGGACCTGGGCAACTCTGTAAATATGATGAAAAAGACAATTGGCTCAACTTGAGAGGTCCATTTGTCAGTCCTAAGGCAGTTAGGTTTGGGCAGTTGAAACTGACAACTGCGTGAATCATGTAATGTAATACTTCATTAGAAGCCATTACATATAAAATATCTTTAAGAAATAATAATGCATCAGTATTATATAGCGCTTTTTTGGACACTCAAAGACGCTCTACAGAGCATTAATCATTCACTCTGTACCCGGTGGTGGTAAGCTACTACTGTAGCCACAGCTGCCCTGGGGCAGACTGATGGAAGTGAGGCTGCCTATCTGCAACAGCGGCCCCTCCGACCACCACCATCACACTCACACACACCACTTTCAAACTAGGCAATGAGGGTGCAGTGCCTTACCTAAGGACACAACAATTTTTGCCACTGGCGCCCCCCTGTGGCACCTGATTTTTCCAGTCTCCCATCCAAATACTAACCAGGCCCGGTCCTGCTTAGCTTCTGAGATCGAACGGGATCAGGCTTTGACAAGCCGGTATAGCCACATACAGTGAAGAAAATAAGTATTTGAACACCCTGCTATTTTGCAAGTTCTCCCACTTAGAAATCATGGAGGGGTCTGAAATTTTCATTGTAGGTGCATGTTCACTGTGAGAGACATAATCTAAAAATTAAAATCCAGAAATCACAATGTATGATTTTTTAACTATTTATTTGTATGATACAGCTTCAAATAAGTATTTGAACACCTGTCTATCAGCTAGAATTCTGACCCTCAAAGACCTTTTAGTCCGCCGTTAAAAAGTTCACCTCCACTCCATTTATTATCCTAAATCAAATGGATCTGTTTGAGGACGTTAGCTGCATAAAGACACCTATCCACCCCATACAATCAGTAAGACTCCACCTACTAACATGGCCAAGACCAAAGAGCTGTCCAAAGACACCAGAGACAAAATTGTACACCTCCACAAGGCTGGAAAGGGCTACAGAGAAATTGCCAAGCATCTTGGTGAACAAAAGTCCACTATTGGAGCAATCATTAGAAAATGGAAGAAGCTAAACATGACTGTCAGTCTCCCTCAGACTGGGGCTCCATGCAAGATCTCACCTCGTGGGGTCTCAATGATCGTAAGAAAGGTGAGGAATCAGCCCAGAACTACACGGGAGGAGCTGGTCAATGACCTGAAAAGAGCTGGGACCACCGTTTCCAAGGTTACTGTTGGTAATACACTAAGACCTTCCCCTGCTTAAACCAGCACATGTCAAGGCCCGTCTTAAGTTTGCCAATGACCATTTGGATGATCCAGAGGAATCATCGGAGAAAGTCATGTGGTCAGATGAGACCACAATAGAACTTTTTGTTCATAATTCCACTAACTGTGTTTGGAGGAAGAGGAATGATGAGTACCATCCCAAGAAAACCATCCCTACTGTGAAGCATGGGGGTAGTAGCATCATGCTTTGGGAGTGTTTTTCTGTACATGGGACAGGGCGACTGCACTGTATTAAGGAGAGAATGACCGGGGCCATGTATTGCGAGATTTTGGGGAACAACCTCCTTCCCTCAGTTAGAGCATTGAAGATGTGTCGAGGCTGGGTCTTCCAACATGACAATGACCCGAAGCACACAACCAGGATAACCAAGAAGTGACTCTGTAAGAAGCACATCAAAGTTCTGGCGTGGCCTAGCCAGTCTCCAGACCTAAACCCAATAGAAAATCTTTGGAGGGAGCTCAAACTCTGTGTTTCTCAGCGACAGCCCAGAAACCTGACTGATCTAGAGAAGATCTGTGTGGAGGAGTGGGCCAAAATCCCTCCTGCAGTGTGTACAAACCTGGTGAAAAACTACAGGAAACGTTTGACTTCTGTAATTGCAAACAAAGGCTACTGTACCAAATATTAACATTGATTTTCTCAGGTGTTCAAATACTTATTTGCAGCTGTATCATACAAATAAATTGTAAAAAAAAAAAAAAAAATCATACATTGTGATTTCTGGATTTTTTTTTTTCAGATTGTCTCTCACAGTGGACATGCACCTACGATGAAAAATTCAGACCCCTCCATGATTTCTAAGCGGGAGAACTTGCAAAATAGCAGGGTGTTCAAATACTTATTTTCTTCACTGTATACATTACATTTACCCTTTAATTTCATTTGTAGTAAAAGGAAAACATTTACAAAACCTATTTTAAATAAATAAATTTTATTAAAATATTGTCTGTAGACAAAAGTAAGACATTTACCAAGAACACACAATGAATAAACAAAAGCCCTAGTTGTTGAAATGAAAAAATCCTTAAAATTATATTGTATCCTCTCAAGTCTTAAAACATGCATTTAAAAAGTTTAAGTGTAATTAAAGCATTGTCTCAAATGTGCAGCGGAGATTATTACAATTATATAAAAACAAACAGGATTTTGTTTTAAACTAATGCATCTATATGATGACGGTATGGATCAATACATTGACATGGTAATGTTAAGTAAAAAATGACTGAAGTTGTTTTAGTATTTATTACTAACTTCACTTTTAATATTTACTTAACTGTGAAACAACAATTATTCCCTTTTTCCTATGAAAAGTTCCACTCACAACTGAATTCTTTTGGTATGATAGCAAAAAAAAATAAAAAATTCTTCAGATAATCTAAACAATATCAATGATCAGATCAGATTTACCACTGACTGAAGTGAGGTTTAACAATCTGTTAAACCAGTTTGTTGATCAAGTTTGTTTGAATTAAACATTTTTCTTATGATACTTATACTATGAAAAGTAATACTTTTCAAAAACAGACAGTTCAGTTGAGGACAACTGGTCAGTTGAGCTAGTGTGGTCAGTGTGCCGCTCATACTCCCAGTTTGTTGGCTTGTGTCAACACCACTTTGAGCACTGGCATAAAACCTGAAATTTCACTAAAGTTACTGCTGCTTACAATGTGTGTGTGGATATTGAGGCCCTCTGTGTAGGATCGTGATTCAATAGTCCTAGCAATGTTATGAAGACCCCCTATAATAGCTGGGGATAGCTGTAAAGGAACAGAAAATGGTGAGCCATTACCAAATGCATAGAATTTAAATGCAAATACTCACTGTATGCTCTCTCAATTTGTCATAAAGTGTTTCCAAACGCTTGTTGGCATCATCAAGTTTCCTTTTAGTTTGCTGGAAAGTAAAAATGCATTATTATATTAGATTCTAATGGTTTCTTTTAACAATGCAATCTTTCCTTAAATGGCCCATATTATACCATTTCATGATGTATGTTATAATGTAATTTCCTCATCAAAACATTCCTGAAGATGTGTTTTGTTTCATTCACACATTTAACACACAAACCCTGCATATTTAGGATGAAATGTTCTCTCAAACAGAAAACACACTGCTGATAATTGCAGTCCTGCAATTGCCCATCTCAACTTAATAAAAGGTAAAAGGTAGCTGTTCATTTGAAAACTACCACTACATGACATCACAAAGTGGAAAAGGGTATTTTGGGCTTTGGAGATGTAGACAGACTAATAATAAAGGATTACTCAAACGTGTAAATGAAACAAAACAAAACTCCAAGTACGGTATGCTTTTAACAACATTCTAACATGGCTAGAAGCTCAAGAGTCAGTGCTGCATAATATAGGACCTTTAATCATGATTTGATTGGCCTGATCAGAATCTGATCTAAACCGTGCAAAACAGTTGTTTAATTAAATGTGTTTACCGGGTCTGTAGCAACAATTAGGCATTTCTGAATAAGGCCCTCAAATGTGGTCTTTAAAACAAAGTGCTCATCTGGAATGGGCTTTTTTGTGATTTTTTCAGCAGGCATAGACCGAGGAGGCTGAAAACAACAACAACAAACTTGTCAGTCTATTAAATATATTAAATGTAGCATTGGATGAGAATAAATAAACACACTCAACATAATGTGAACAGTATACCTGAATAACATCACCAATAGGTGCTCCAGGTGCACCTTCAGAGCTGGTTTTAGGCATTGTTGTGTTCATGGAGTTTAAAGCTGAAGGGACAAGTGGCTGTTGCATGCCTGAGTAGGGGGTTTGAACAGCATGTGGGATCTGACCCATAAGCTGAGGGGACCCAGAGGGCATCTGCTGAGGCTGGAGATTAGCTCCCAGTGGTGCCATGATGGGGGTTGTGATAGGAGCAGGGGGGGTGTAGTTCTCTGGAACAATCTAAAATTGTTTACAAGCAGTTATAAACACATTCAACATTTTCATTACTGAAAGAAAACCTCCATTACCTTCTTCTTTGGACCTCGACTCAGGGTTGGGGGATCATTCCAACCATTTTGAGGTCCTACAATCACAATGAAATACTTTCAATTTTTGAAATTTCAATTTAGCTTTACAAGAAATATAACTGTAGTATAATTATATATTTTTTTAAAATTATTTAAAATGTAATAATTTTAAATTTAATGTAATCTTAAATCTTTTTGGTTTTGAAATTAAACTAATTTAAAACTGAAATGCCATTTATATAATCATGACCAAATCTTTTTGTATACCTGGGAAAAATGTAAATACATTACAATACAATAAAATACAATACTCATTTGCCTTGATCGGAAATTTTATTGTGAATGAATTGTGAATAAATTACTACTGTAATAACTTAAAAAAAATATAATTAAGATTATATAGAATGTTGGTTCAAACAAGTACATACACTATGACAGGGACAGATAGTGCTTAGAGCCATGCAGACCTGCTTTTTGAGAGGCAGGGATCAGTGCTGGGCCAGAATCATGCTGTGTACCTGAGACTCCACTCTGTGGAGGCAGCAGCATATAAGACCCCGGAGAGCCAGGCCCACCATGCTGGAAGGACGCCATTGAGGATGGAGAAGAAGGTGGATTGGAGGAAGAGGAGAACGATGGGCATTTACTGCTGAGAGGTGAAGGGGCATAAGCAGTTTGAAATGGGACAGGCTGAGAGTAGTGAGAGAGAACTGGAGGGTGAGGAGCAACAGAAGCTTCAGCCAAAACAGGTACCACAGGAGGGCAATCCTGATGAGTCCGATATTCAGTCAACCCCCCAACTCCCTGTGGGTACTGGTTAACCTGGGCATAGGCTGGGGTTATCAAGAACAAATTTTTATTAGTGAAAATGTAAATGCAAGTTTACATACTACATGTAGAGGCATGCTAAGCTCTTTCATGCTGAGGGGATTTTTTGGAGTAAGAAAATATACAAAGCAATTCTGCATAATATAATCTGTAATGTAAACGCTAATAGAGTATGTATTGTCTCAAAGTCTAAAGATATATTGTTATCGTGTAACTTTTCTGGAGGAGGGTCAGCTGCCTTGTTGTCTCCATATAGATTCTAATGCTTTGCCTGCAGTGTTCCCCTGTATGACATTAAATTAATGAAGCAGATGATGGGCCTTGTACCAGAAAAGTTACAAGATGATAATCTTAGGGCGGCAGTAGCTCAGTTGGTAGAGCATTCGCCCACTGATCTGAAGGTTGGAGGTTCGAATCCAGCTCTCAACATAAACATCTCCGGTTGAGCGGTCAGATCCACTGACCCACAGGTGGCTGGTGTGATTCCAGCTCCCACAGATGAATGCTGTCGTTGTGTCCTTGGGCACGACCCACAGTGTCTGCGTACACTGGTGTATGAATGTGCGTGTGAATGGGTGAGTGGTTCCTTGTTGTAAAGCGCTTTGAGTGCCTTGAAGGTGAAAAAGCGCTATAGAAAAATGTGACCATTTACTATAATCTATATACGATTCTAACCTATACCTAACTTCTGGTCCCAGTATGAATATTTCTTTTGTATGTAGTATAAAGACAATGATTTAGCCCTGGAGATGGCTGTACAGGGATCTGCTCCTCCCCTGGACAGTCTGGCTGACCCACCCACACTCTGCACAAGTGTCACCGCCAAGTGGAAAAAGTGAGCATGACTGTGTTCAAATAACCCAGTGCCCTGCATCTAAGATGGCTAGGGTCTGTCTGAACGTGCATATGTGTTTATTAAGGATTCAAGACACTTACTCTGGTATTGATGGGAGTGGATGAAAGGTGCAGAGGAAGCAGAAAGAGCAGCAGCTGTGCCTGTGGTTGGCATCGTGCACATCGGGCTTGATGGAGTCACCTTGACAACAAAAAATATGAATCATGAATTCCTAAATTATGCGTTTTCTTATACACACAGTGTGCATTGTACATGCATATGAAAATGCCAAAATTAGAAGGGTGGTGGGGTTGCACATCTGGTTAATAAAAATCTAAATCTGGACAAGCTATGACCCATGCACATCTATAACCCATCAAAGACCATATGTAACCCCTTAACGTCTGAATTTGTATAAATGTATATAAAAAATGTTTTGTGTGCGTTTTTGCCTTCAAGTAGATAGTAAATTAAGTTGAGATTATTCATTTGACTACAGCAAAAAATAAATACATAGAAATTTGGGTATGTTGCAAATTTGTGACAACTAGAAACAAGTGCTTGTCAAAAGTCCCTAAGAAGCTACAGCATATGCACTAACCGGCATTGAGGGAATGCGGCCGCTGTCTCATCTTATGTATTAATCCAAAGGGTTTGTAGCATATTTGTGACAGTCAGCATTAAGGAGATAAAATTTAATGAATGAACACACCGGTAACCATTTAAAATAAATGCCTTGTTTTGATTATTGTAGTTGTTTTTTTTTATTGTTGATTATTGTGTATTATGAAAAACTAATACCTCATCATAATGAGGTCATCCTCAGTGATTCCCTGAGGAAAATTAAAGGTTAAATGAAAATAAGATAGGTTAGACTATAAAGCTTGACAATTTTGTTTCTAATTTAACTTGCTTCTTAGATATGAATAGGACATGCATACATGAAATACATAAAATTAATTGCATTTATCTAGCAACCAAAATGTAAACAAAGGCCAAAGCTCATCTAATTTACACAAGTTATGATCTTTATGAGGTCAACGCCTTAATTTTGCTAGGCAAATGTTTTAACTGAGAAAATCATTCTTTGTGCATAAATTGTCTCGGCATTATGGATGAAAATGCCTTTTTACAATATTATTTAGGCTGTTTAATACCTTTGATGGGTCTGAGGCAGTGCCAACTGGAAGAGAAGGAGGCACATGGGGGAAGACTGTTGGAGTTTGATTACTCCAAGAGGTGACAGTGGAAGCAGCCCTGACCTGAGCACAGAGAGATGGGGTGATAACCGAAGTGCCAACAAAAACACACCATAATACACCAACAGAAACACCAGTTATCTCCCTCAGAAAAGCCAAAGTTCAAATTACAAACACTGAACAAATCTTTAATTGAAGTCATCAAATGTATTTATGATACTACTCCAACTTGTAATTCAAACTGTGGCTAAAATGGAAACAAAATTAATTGAATATGTGAACAAACCAACAAGCTCCTGCACTGTGCTTGAGGACAGGTGGCAAGTTAGTATGACAATTTGAAATGTCAAACACACTATGCAGCCAGAAAATAAAGGTGAAGTCAACTGAGTGTTGTATGGTAAAAGGGTGCTACAAAAAAGGCCAGTGTAACTCACAGGCTGGTAGTACTGAAGGTGAGCAGGAGCAGTGGTGGTGGGCTGCACAACAGAGTACGCATTATTGGATTGCCCAGCAGTAAGAGTCTGCAGAGGAGGGACCTGAGAGGGGGCGCTTTGTGTTTTGAAAGATGCTGGGTCCTGCTGACCTAGAGCATGGCTCAGACGCTCACGGAGCAGCTGGATACAAACCTTCATACAGAGCAGATCAGTCAGTACGATGTTTACAGATTTCCATAAAGTATTATAGAAAAACATTATGAACATACATGGTTGGTTTCATTGGGAAGGTAGGTAATAGCTGTGGTCAAGCAACCCTGAGAAGCTAATAGGTTTGCATACTCGCCCATCTTCTTGGCTAACAGGACCCCAACTGTAAGAGGACCCATGTTTTGCATCTGTTCTACTGCATGACGCATCACAACCACCTTTTCCACCAGGTCCTAAGGGACACAGTTTCACTGTTACAAACAAGATACAAATTATTTTGGGTTTACTACATCAAGCAAAATGAATTAGCGCAATTAACCAATCACAGCATTGTGATTTGGGTGCAAGGCAAAGGTAAGAAGCTCAAGGTTACCAAAACAAACATGGTGCTGCAGATGTACATATGCCTATTTTAGCAGAAACAGGCAGATGTGCATATGCCTATTTTAGCAGAAATATAGACCATTTTATTAAAACATACCAAGGAAGGAGCTTTGTCTCAACTAGTTTTAGCCAAAACTTGATTTCTTTGCCCCCTCTGCTGTTGTTACTCTTCACTCAATCATCTTAAAGAATTAATCTGAATGTTCTGCCTTTTCCTGATTGCTTTCAGCGTGAGGTTGATAATGTATAGAACTTGACACTAAACTGCTACACATTTCATTCTGGCCTCTTCCACGTTAACATCGCAGTGTATCTTCACATCACCTGTAGAGAGAGAGGATTGTTTCCTTCTTGTGCCTTGATCCAGCAAGACACCAGTTTCTCCAAATTACCAGCACAGATGTAACAGAGACAGGCCTGTGCTTGCAGGTTGGGATCATTTGCTCCCTCCAATCTGCCACCAAGGAGATCTAATAGATAAATGTAATTACTTTAGGAAAGTACAACTTGAACAAAACTATTACAATCCAACATGCAATAGATACCACAGAGGGAAGAAAACTCCTGAGTCTGAGCATATGTCATAACAGCAGCCATTGCTTCCTTCCAGTTCTGTAGATCACATGTGCTCAGGATGTCATGCAAGTCCTTCATCACTACTGCACTTATAAGCTGTATGAAACATAATCATATGTATTAAAGTTGTTTAGATTTCCTGTTTACTTGATAACACAGAACTGTGTATCTTACCTTAGTCAGCTTGCTTTGTGACTTTATGAAATACTTCTTTTGAGTTTTCTCTAGGAGCTCAGCTCCTCCAGCAATAGCTAGGATAATACTGTCTGCCATACGGTTGTCAAGGAGACAGAGTTCAACCGCTCCTTCAAAATCTCCAGTTAGCAGAGCTTGTGTAATCAGCCTGTCAACATCTGTAGGTGAAGAAAATATGATGCTTGAACTTTTGATAGCAGTTTGCTCACATACTGAAAGACCAGTTTTCAGACGTGTCATTTAAATGTACTGGTAAATGCATACTTTTATCTGTATATTATATTTTTAATTTTGAAGTCTGTTTATTTGTAAAAACGTTGTGAATGACATGATCTGAAATAAAATACCTCGATTGATGCCAAGGTTGGGGTTGACTACAGGAGCAATAACCTGCAATGCACCATCTTCAGGTGCCTTGAGAACTTCACCAGTGAGCAGCAGTTCACTGGAGGCTTGAAACGCCTTTTCAATATGATCTTGTGATAGTTCTTCACTGGGAGCTTGAATGTCAGAAAACAGATCCTGTGATGGTTCTTCACTGGGAGCTTGAATGTTAGAAAAAGGATCTTGTGATGGTTCTTCACTGGGAGCTTGAATGTTAAAAAAAGGATCTTGTGATGGTTCTTCACTGGGAGCTTGAATGTTAAAAAAAGGATCTTGTGATGGTTCTTCACTGGGAGCTTGAATGTTAGAAAAAGGATCTTGTGATAGTTCTTCACTGGGAGCTTGAATGTTAGAAAAAGGATCTGGTGGTTGCTCACTGGGAGGTTGAATGTACGAAAACAGATCCTGTGATGGTTCTTCACTGGAGACTTGAATGTCAGAAGACAGATCCTGAAATGGTTCTTCACTGGGAGATTGAATGTCAGAAAACAGATCCTGTGATGGTTCCTCAGTGGGAGCTTGAATGATGGAAAAAGGATCCTGTGATGGTTCCTCAGTGGGAGCTTGAATGTCAGAAGACAGATCTTGTGATGGTTCCTCAGTGGGAGCTTGAATGTCAGAAGACAGATCTTGTGATGGTTCCTCAGTGGGAGCTTGAATGATGGAAAAAGGATCCTGTGATGGTTCCTCAGTGGGAGCTTGAATGTCAGAAAACAACTCCTGTAATGGTTTCTCAATGGGAGCTTGAATGATGGAAAAAGGATCCTGTGATGGTTCCTCAATGGGAGCATGAATGATGGAAAAAGGATCCTGTGATGGTTCCTCAGTGGGAGCTTGAATGTCAGAAAACAAATCCTGTAATGGTTCCTCAGTGGGAGCTTGAATGATGGAAAAAGGATCCTGTGATGGTTCCTCAGTGGGAGCTTGAATGATGGAAAAAGGATCCTGTGATGGTTCCTCAGTGGGAGCTTGAATGTCAGAAAACAAATCCTGTGATGGTTCTTCACTGGGTGCTTGAACTGCGGAAAGAGTTTCCTGAGTTGTTTCCTCCATAGAAGCTTGAAGTAGGTCCTCACTGGCATCTAAAACGTCATTTACTTCCTGCAACACATTACACAACAATATTACTAATTATATTTGTTTTGTGATTAGACCTAAAAATGTATTTTCTGGTGGAGTGTTGTACCTCATCCAAAAGTATTTCCTCATCATCCCATTGCTGTTCAGGAATTCCACTTGCTACCTGGTCTACAATTTCATAATTGTGATCAGCACTCTTTTCTTCTGCATTCACTTCTATTGTCTCTTCACTCTCGGTTAGAGGAATGTAGTCCATCTCCTGTGTGACTGATGGCTTCAAGTTTGCAGCAGCAATCAAGTCAAATGCTGCCTCAGGATTTTCTGTGGCAGTGACAATGTTAAGGTCTGCAACTGGCTGTGCATCACAGAGAGGGGGAAGATCCATCTGGATAAGTAAAAACAAAATAATTATTTTAAATACTGATTTGGGTTAATTTCTATTTTACAAAAATAAAGACCAATGTTGGGACCAGTCTTTGACTCTAAACTGAATGCAATCATTCATAATACAGATGATTACTATTATGCAGTGGAATTGGCTTTACAAAATAAATTCCCTTTACCTCTGTAGGCTTTTCGGTTAATGCAGCAGAAATCTGGAAACAAAATACTACAATATTATTACATGTTAATTGATAGAAAGTTTTTTTATTTCACACAAGCCAACCTTTAGGGCAAGTTCCTCTCTATTGTAGCCAAGAAGCTCAAGGAACCTTGAGCGGGTGTCACTGTCAAAATTTGCCTAAAAACAAAGACAATATCTATTAAATTAATCTATGCTTTCAAACAAATATCAATTTTAAATAAGTACCTTGAGGAAAGACCAAATTGTCTTTTCAAAGTCATTCTCAGCCATGTTAATTTTTCCTTGGCAAAACTCCACAAATTGACCTGAACTGATGGTGTCCTGTAACTGGCTGGAGCGTTTCAATAAGTCAGTTTCCGTAACAACCTGGCTGACATGCACAACATGACGATTAGGCAGCTGGGGGTTTGGTTTTCCATTCTCCAAAGACACCAGTTTTCCTCCAAACTAGAAAGAAAATGACAGAAATACATATACATATACCTGCATGCACGCACTTTTTTATACTATACATTATTGTACATAAACAATATAAAGTAGTTTACAGCAAATGATGCTCCCACAGGTCTCTGTATCCATTTGGGGGGCTTCTTTATGGGGTTAACTGTAGTTGAAATGGTCCCACTCTGAGGAAGCTCCAATAGAGGTAGAGTTTGTCCTGTTCCAAAGGGATCCATGGTTCCAAAAGAGTGACTTACCTGAAACATGCAGACCAAATTTATAATTACTTGATACCCAAACATGTTTTTGAAAGCCCTTGCAAATCTATTAAGTCTATTAAGTACAGATTTTGGTTACTGGAAAAACTGTTGCATCTATACACATGACAACAACTAATCTGTTTGTGATTTAGAAAATGGCTTAGGCTTAAGTATACAAACAAATCCTTACCTCATCAACATGGCTCTGAGCTTGACTGGTACCCCCCATAATGGAATAAATATTTATGCAGCTATTAAAGGATGCTGCAGAAAGCACTGCAGGGTTTCGTGGGCACCACTGAATGTCAAAACACCAATGGTTGCCAGTAGGCAGTTCGTATAAAATCTGAATAAAAAAGTAAATCATATAAAGTATGATTGAGGAAATGCCATTTTGTTCATTTAAACCATTAAAATGTTTAAACATGATAAACATTTACCTCTGCAGTATTTGGATTCCAACAAAGAATCCTACCGTCCTTCCCACAGCTGAGAAGCAGCTCTGGATCTGCATAGCTCCATGCAATGGCCAAGACACCACTACAACCAGATGCACAGTTTGTTGTTTTTTGGGTGTTCAAACATTAAACAAGTTTTACATCATTTTTTACCGTGTGTGATTTTCTAAAATCTTAAGGGGAGAGGATGCAAAACGCAGATCCCACATTTGAATCACAGGCATTCGGTCATCCTCAGAGGACATAACTAACTGTGTAGCCACTTCTGGATTCCAGGCCATCCCAGAACAATGCATCTAATAAGGATAACAAAAACAGAAAATAATTATGAGAACCAAAAACAACAAAATATGTGGAGAAAAACACACTCTGTTGCTGTGGTCGGAGACTTTAATGATGAGGTCATTCTTGCGTAGATCCCACACTGATGTTCGTCCACTTGGGCTAGTAGAGGCCAGGATGTGTTGGACTTGTCTGTTCCATGCCACACAGCTGATATCCTCTAGAGGCTATATAAGAAAACATAGATTAACTGTAGGCCAATAACATATTAGTGTAGGTTAGTATGTAATAGTGGTTTTAAATTGAAGTATAAATAATATCATTCTCTTTATTAAATATACAAAAAAAATGTTTAAACATATATTGAAATACAACAGTCTTCCCTTCCTATACCAAAATCATTTTCTAATAATAATAATCTACCTGTGTCTTGGGCCCAGGTGTCATTGGAGATCCAAAGTTATTAATATCCCATATGTAAATTTCCGATTCATTTCCACCTGATGCAACTAGGTTTGTCTGTCAGAGAACAAATTACTCAATATACTACACGTAACAAAATTTAATTCACATGTCAGTATGTGAGCATACCTGAAATGGGTTCAGGTCAAGAGCTCTCACTGGCCCTGTGTGAATGTCACTCTCTGCAATGATCACATTGGTGTCTCCAGACATAATCTTTACAGGGTCATAGAGGATGACGTTGCCATTTTCTCCACCAGCAATAAGAACCCCCGAAGCCAGACCCTGCCCATCAATGCCAAATGGACTCCAAACAAGTTTGTGGTATCTGAACCAAAGTAAACAGTTGAGTACGCTTGATTATAGTACACAAACCAATGGAAAAATTTGAGATTCTTGGTACCGGTGTGAGGAGGAGAGAGTGCCACAAGATTTCATAGCTAAAGATGGATCAGCCAAATTGAACTCAAACAGCTCCAACGATGCACTGGTGCTGAAGGAGGCATCTAGCTGCTGTGCTGAGGTCCCTAATCAGGACATACAAGCAGTTCAAAGGGCATGGTCAAATGATTGTTAGATCAAAGTTGGTAATGTGTTGTATTTTGAAATAAATACATCTAAAGTAGGTGTATACCAATAGATAACTTAAAAAAATATATTTACATATGATCAATAATAATACCTGTGGCTAAGTAGATGGGGTGATGCTGGGCAGGACTCCAGCTCAGCATGGCTGTCCGGTTTATTTCTTTGACTTTCATCTTCAAAGGAAAAAAAAAAATCATTACTGCCGACACAGTATTTGTTTAGTTTTGACCTGGTTCAGGAAACTGTAGCCAGCTGTTTTATTTTCTCTAGTAAAGTTTTAAAGGGAAGAATAAATTTTGAATAATATAAGATCATTAATAAACCCAACAGTTTGTAAACGGTTCCTGTTGTCTTACATATTTCAGGAGTAAAAAACGTTGCTTGCCAACCCTGGAAATAACCATACAATGTATGGTTCAAACACACGTCAGGGTGGTTGATTTACCAAGTAAGAGAAGATAGGGTGAGGGAAAATGTATCTTAGTAAGAATGTAAAAAAATATAAATTATCATTAGTTTTGAAGAATCCTTCAAAAAATTTGAAGGATCCAGTGAAAAGGACTCCGACTCAAATTAAGCTTTGAGTTTATCTTAAGTGCAATAATCATTACACCAGGAAAGTTAACTTTCTTAGGGCGAAAACGTTCCGCAAAAAACACCCACGGGAAACACTCTGTAAGAAAAAGTACAAGGTGTGCTAGCTACGTAAGCTAACAGCTGATTTACACTAAGGACATGGAGAACAGCAGGTGGCATACTCCAGACCACTTACGACACTAAAATGTGCGGATAAGTACAAAACTTTAAAAGGCACTCACGTTGTCTCAAACGTACATTCTAATTAGCACACCGTTCATCATAGTACACAATGAAAACTGAAGTTGACTGATCATAACAATCCGCACATCTACCTTGCAAAAGTAGCTTACCTTTTCTTCTGTGCTCCTTACTTAAACAAGCACACTTACAATGGCATACACCATAAGCCTGCAGTTTTACACTTTTTGTGGACTGATTCAAAAGCCGGTGAACGCAGTCAGAACAACCGGTCACAGCTGCAGACCGCGATTTCCACGTCCCCACTGGTGTCTCCATCAACGTGGCACTCGGTGAACAGCAACACCTCCCACCCTGAACCACTTCCGGGGGCACAGTCCAGACGTCCACCCTTGAATCTATTAAAATATCCACCATGGCGTCCACGCGGCTCTCACAAAGCTCTTTAGCCATTTGATTATTAGCGTTTTATTCACTCGTTAAAAAAGAACAAAACACCATTCTTAAGTTCTGGGTTAAAAGTTTTATTCAGTTACTCGTTTTGTACAATGTCACAGGTGGGCCGAGTGCAGCATGACAGTCTTGAGGCTTTGTTTCGTGCACTGAAAAAACAAAAACAAAAAACAAAACGTTAGCTTCGAAGAGATTATCTTGATTTGTAAGACTAATAAAAAAAACCCTCATTCAATTGAGATTTTGAAATCTTACTCAGATGAGTCAGATGGGTAGTGATTGGTATAATCAAAGGGCTGTGTAATTAGTTAATTAAATAAACGATACCTACCTCATACTTGTGACGCTATCCAGTGCCTAGGGGGGAAAAGCAGTTATTTAAGTTTTACATTTGTTAGCAATCTTCACAATAAAAAGGTTATTTTAGCTACAGGAGCCATTTAAAACTAGTTTAAACTCAAGCCTGATTGCAGTTGCCTACGACCGTGAAGCGATAAAGCAGACTATCATATTAATTGCACTAGAAACCCACTATTGATCACCACTGTGCAACACTGAAAAGCTGCACTAAATCTTACGTTTGATACTCACCACAACAACAAGACATTCGCTCATAAATTGCTCATTGACTGTATAGTTTGCTGGGCTCTCGGTCCACCCCTGCTCCATCCATGATTAGAATGCACGTGTTCATCCTTCTTTCTTTGGTGGTGGCGAGACATTACCGTCACCATCACACGCTGTCGCCCCCTAGTGGGTGCAGAAATGTCACTGCACATTTGTTTTACACATACCGCTCAAATCCATCTTCCTGCGCAATGTTACATTAGCGTTTATTTCACGGATTTATAATAAGATCTTTAATGGAATTATGGTTTACACTTGCATATTGACCACATAAAAACAGGACTATACCTGGACTAAAACTGGACCAGACCCTCTAGTTCTGGGCCCTGTAGAAGGAACAACCGCATAACATTAAGATACAAAAATAACGTAGCTTTACTACACACGATTTATTTTACAAGAGTAGCTGTTTACTTGAATTATCAACTCGCGTGATGATGGGAGAGACCCTATTGATAGTTAGATTTAAAAGGGGTTTTGGTAATTGTTTTCTTGTGTAATAAATTAATGCTGTCCAGATCCATAACACACAAATGTTTTCTTTTATCTAAATGCTACTAAGTTTTTGTTTTTTTTTTAAATTAGGAATAACCCTATATGAAGACTATTGAAAAGAACATGTCCGGCTACAACTTGTCTTGAATGGATGAATGGTTTAACTAAAATATGAAATATTCTAAAACACACAGTACTTTTGATAATCAATTCTAACATATGGTATTATTTGAAAGGGGCAGATATCAATGCATTTCTTATGTTTAAAAATAAAAACAATAGAAACAGAACTACTACATAAAATTTTTCATGATTACAAAAATAGCAACAGCTCTTATAAAATGCCAAATAACATTTGTAACACCTGTGAGTGTGCATATGCATATTTACTTGTGTAACTATTTTCAGATAAAATCAATTAGTAAATTCAATTTCTTTTGGTTAGTGTAGACTTGGTAAATTGTTCAGATAGCACTTACAAGCTATTCAATGCTGCTTAATAATGATTACAAATACTTCAAAAATAAATATCAAAGATAAATGTTCATTTTATCCACTATAAGTAGATATATTGTGATGACATAAAAATTACAAACAATGCATTTTTTAAAAAGCCAGAAAAAGTCAAAAGGATAAAATGTTAGAACTAATGTTTGGAGAAAAACTATATGAAGTGACATTTTAAAATCTCCCCTTTTAGATGCTCTTTAACAGGGGGCCGTTTTTCCACCCAACTTAACATAACTTTTCATGCAGATGGATGCCGTGATAGTTGTCACTGTAAAACCACAGGAGTCCAAGACAAAACAGACAACTCCATTCTTCCCCAACCCAACAGTTCACACCCAGACCTAGCAGTTTATGGAGGCACAGTCAACTTTAGCTTTTCCTGCTGAACTTATGATTCTCATGAGGCAGTGTCCAAACTCTTCTAGGATCATCCTCTCAGCTTCAGCCTGAGGCTGATGAGTCTGTTCGGAGCGTTTGGCACGGTCTAGCAGGCACTCGCATGTTGCTTCAAGGACTTCTTTTGTTACAAATGTGTATGGTAACCTGTGCAGGAACATACAAAATGATTTAAGCTCCAGCATTGATATTTTTTACAACAAAGGAAATAGCTTTAACAGTGACATAAACAAATGCTCTATGTTATATAGAAACAGCAGTAATAGGAACCTTGTTTGAACTTGAAGACATAATATGCTTTTTTCAAGCATTTTGTATTAAACTGGAAAGAACACGCGTAAATCTTTATTTTATATTCAGTAACTCAAAACTCAGGATTTCATTGTAGCGATTAACCAATATTCTTGCACTTAAACCACACTTAAAACAAAGGAAACAAACTGTACCTTCCACCTCCTGTGGGAATAACTGGGGTTGTTCTCATGAGCAAGTCAGAGATCTGAGATGAAAGTTTGGTTTTGGCTGCAGTCTGCTGCTGCACACGGACTTCTGCTGCGTCAGCTAAATGCATTAATGTCTTCCTCTCTGGACTTTCCTCAAAGTTCTTACATCCAATACACTTACAAATAGATGAGCACATAATTTTTGCCTTTTCAAGAAAAAAAAAGAAATGTAGTTTAGGACAAAATCATGCTTGACATCTGCTACTTATGCATGATACCTGACCTCATAGCACTCGCAGTAATTTTTGAGACAGCCCGATCGTTTGCAGTTACAGCCCTTACTGTGGCGACGATCAGACTCTCCTTCTTTGCCTTTACCAATCTTTGGCTTAAAGGCCTCGGGATTCCGGTCCAAACATGTCTGTGAAGTCAGTGACCTCAATTATATGTTACATATGTACACATGCTACATGTACATGCTACATGTACATATTACATATTGCAAGTCCAGATTTCAGTTATACACGATCTTATACCTTTATTGCCTTGAGGCGCTCAGTTTCATGTTCCAGGTTATTGAAGCAATTGTTACAGTTACAGTTATTGCAGAACTCCCCATTTGCAAAACAGTCACAATATCTAGAAAATTAAAAGGATACATTACATTTACAAGATAATGAATAATAATTACAATCAAGCACATGTTCAATTTCTACACACTTACAGCTTAAGACATTGTGACTTGGTGCAGTTGCAGGGTTTTCTTGGTCTCGATGTAGATTCTGTTGTTGAGACGCTGTGAATAATAAAAATAAAACTTAAATAAGAAAACAAGAATAGACAGCTAGCCTTGCTGTTTAGTTGGATGTAAACGTTAAGTTGCTACTGCTCACTGGGTTAGGTTTATGTAATAAAACATACATTTGAAAAACCTAGCTTAATAAAAATAAAAAAGCAAACAACACACAGTCATATGTCATTATCTGTACATAAATACAATACAATAGTGCCAATTTGTAGGATTTGCAACATGATAATAACCACCTGATTCTCTGACACCTCTCTACAGCAGACAAATGTTGTGACAAGTCAGAAACTAATGAGATTAGTCCCTGGAGATTTGATTCAAATGCAATTATTATGCATTTCATGTAAAAATCTTTTATGTAAACTGTAGCCTACATCCATACAAAATGGGAGCCTGCTGTTCTTAGATCAGACAAAATTTCATAATTAAATTCTATTCAGTAATTTTCTAGGCCCTGCTGCAGTGATAAAATTTAAATACTTAGGCCTATTTATCAAATTTTTAAAAAGTTTTTTTTTTTTAACTAACTAGCTTATAGTTGTAGCCTATTTACAATGAATGCGCCCTTCACTGCTAACAACAACAACAACAAAATGGTAAAGCAAATCACCAACTGAAATTGATTCAAGGTAGCACTCCTCTGTCTCAGCTCGGTCACACGTCTCCTGCTCTGTGTATGAGTGCTGCATGTTTGCGTGTTTGTGACTTCATTAAACAAAGAAGAGTTTTTAATGAAGTTTTAAAACACATTTAAAATATTCCCAGTTTACTGATGAAGAGAAACACGTGTACTCTGCAAAGGCAATTTCAAGTGAATTTAAAGAAATTTACCTTAGTGGAAACAATTTTATTAATGTAAGATTTTTGAGAACTATGTTTTAGAATCACATTCAGTTCTCCGGTGGTCCATTCTTCCTCACAGACACCACCTCTAATAATTATTCCTTTCCTCCATTAGAAATCTTGCAGAGAGCACCTGCTCATATTAATTTCAATTGTGGAAAAAAATTATTCTACCCACATTGGTTCTCTCTGTATTTTCTATACAGCAGAACTTTCGCCTCCTGCAGGTGTTTCCAGGTTTATTTTAGTGATGCAGAGGAAACTAACAAGATCATTGGTCAACTATAATTTAGAACAAATAACTCTCACTTCAGATTTTAGGTGTGTTATGTACCTAGATTTCCTAAGCATGGTAAAAAAAACATGTTTGTTTTTCTTTGTCTAATACATTTTCCATGAGTCATTGTTATTTAATGGTGGACTTCTTTAAATGTCTGAATTACTTGGGTTATGAATATCTGGTAATATCCTCTGTTGTAGATTAATGCAGAGGTTCTGAATAGGTTCTGGTTCTGGTTTTGAATACTTTGAACAATTTCTTAAAATTCTGGACATGAAGTTCCAGGGACTTGTAATTAATACAATAGTGAGAAACTTCAACTCGAACCACTATTTTTACTATAGGCAGACTGCAATAACACAGTAACTTGGCAAACAATCTTTATAAAAAAATAAAAATAAATAAAAATTCTTTACCCATTAAGTGGTAGTCTGGCCTGTGTCTGGATGCTACTTGATGCCTGAAAACCAGAGCTGCTGGCAAGGGTCACAAAGGGAGT